GAAACTAAATGGTAATTAGAAGTAGTGGAGAGTGGTGAGATCGAGTTGGTCTCGCTTAAACTAAACTAAATTAAACAAAACATATATATAAAAAAAAACACAGTATTGGAAAATAGTGGAAGTATAATCACAATATTTCTTATCATAACAAATTTCTCCGTGAAATTTTCTTCAAATTAAATTATTAAAAATAATTATTAAAAAATTAGATTAATTAAATTTCCCCCTCGGCGCGCACAAACACAAAAGAATTAATTAATATTATGTCTATGTATATATAAGTAAAGTTGAAGAAGAAAATAGAGAAAAACAATAAACGTAGAGAAGATGAGTATTATTTGATTTGAGAGCTTCCGCATTTTTCGAGCTGCCGCATATTATATTTTTTTTTTAACTATTTATCCTCATTTACACTTATTAAAACATTTATTCATATGCAATTATCATATTAACTTTAAGAGCGATTAATTTCTGTTATTATTAGTTTTTCTTTTTTTTGTTCTTTGAAAATCTTTTGTTTTGGATGCTACAGTTTTCTTTTGTTTCTCGGGGGGGGTGTGTGGGGTTTGAATTAAACGGCCGTGTCGATTTTCTTCTCCTTGATGATCGGATGATCGTTTCCGTTGATGTAGTCCTGCGAGCTGTGGTGGTGCGGATTGTCGACGCCGTCTACGTCGCCGCCGCCGCCGCCTCCTGCACCGACCGCCTCAGCTGCGGCCACGCGACCGTTGCCCCCCTCGCCGCCGCCCCCCGTATAATCGATCACGTGGGCGCCTCCTAAAACAATAAAAAGAAACAAATAAAAGCTAATCGAGCACGCGCCTACTACTCTCGTTTACGTTGGGATTTACAAACAATTACCAACTCACGAGAAAAATATATATAAAAAAAAGATATATATAGGGTGGAACGAGAGGACGCAACCTGATCGATGTATACAACGGATAGTGATGCTATTATATAAGGGGGTTGTGTTTATGAGAGAGTGTGTGTGTGTTGGAAAACAAAAAGCTACAAAAAGATAATGCGTCTTCAATCTTCTATCCTGCCAAAAACTATATAAATCACACTAAATACTTCTTACAGATAACGCAAATACCGAAGGAATATCAACAGGTTGGTTTTGCTCTTTACAAATCTACGAGTATTTGGATAAATACTAACTACTTCCTTTATTGCTACTATTTCAAAATGTTTTCAAATTTGATTTTTTTTAAAACTACAATCTAAATCTTTAATTAACTTATGTCAAATTTGAAGAAAAAAAAAGTAGAACTTTTTCTTAAAAAAAAGAACTAATTGTTTTTAGTATTTGTTTTTCAGTATCTATTTCAAATTTGAAAAATATATTTCGAATATTTTCAGTTTTTCATAAGTTTTGCAGTTTTTATTAAAGAAATGAACAAATTCAGGCCGTGATTTCAAATTTGAAAAATAAATTTCGAATCTTTTCAGTTTTTTTCATAGTTTTGCAGTTTTTATTAAAGAAATGAACAAATTCAGGCCGTGATTTCAAATTTGAAAAATATATTCCGAATCTTTTCAGTTTTTCAGTTTTTATTAAAGAAATGAACAAATTCAGTTTTCCATTAGTTTTTTTCATAGATTTTCATAAATTTTGCAGTTTTTATTAAAGAAATAAACAAATTTGAAAAATATATTTCAAATCTTTTCAGTTTTTTTCATAGTTTTTCATAAGTTTTAAAGTTTTTATTAAAGAAATGAATAAATTCAGGCCCTGATTTCATATTTGAAAAATATATTTCGAATCTTTTCAGTTTTTCATCAGTTTTGCAGTTTTTATTAAAGAAATTAACAAATTCAGGCCGTGATTTCAAATTTGAAAAATATATTTCAAATCTTTTCAGTTTTTCATAAGTTTTGCAGATTTTATTAAAGAAATGAATAAATTCAGGCCGTGATTTCAAATTTGAAAAATATATTCCGAATCTTTTCAGTTTTTCATTAGTTTTTTCATAGTTTTTCATAAATTTTGCAGTTTTTCAAATTTGTGATTCAAATTTGATTTCAAATTTGAAAAAAAATATTTCGAATATTTTCAGTTTTTTTTCATAGTTTTTCATAAGTTTTGTAGTTTTTATTAAAGAAATGAACAAATTCAGGCCATGATTAAAATATAATTTCAAATCTTTTCAGTATTTCAACAGTTCTTTTTTTCATAATTTGTCATAAGTTTTACAATTTTTTATTAAAGAAATGAACAAATTCATGCCTTGGAAATATAACTTTTCTTTTTGGTAATTCTAAAATTTTAATTATATATTTAAAGTATTAATTAATTTCTGAATTTAAACTTCAAGTATGAAAAGTAGAAATTTTTATTTTTCATATCGAAATTCATTCTAACTGAATGTAAATGATAAATGTGAAAGGAAACGTTGATTGAATGAAACTAAACAATTTTGGCGAAAACTTGGAAATATGTAAGACAGTACAGGCGTAAATTGCAGAGAGTAAATAAAGTTATTCTTCGTGCTGATAAAATGAAGGAGATGAGGAGAGCAGATTCAGAGAAACGGGAAAGTTTCCAGCGTCGAGGAAGAAGAGAAAAGGGGTCATCATCACGCAACGAGGATTGAAGAGAAAGAGGAAGAGAATTAAGGAAACATCGTGTTGCATATTACTCATTTCATCCTCCTACATACATGCTAAACAGTACACATATATAACATCTACAGACCAGAACAATAGGGAACTCTAACGAACTTGCCTCGAATGAAACACATTAGCTTTTATTTATTTCTTTTCCAAAAGAGAGAAAGAGAGAGAAAAAAAAAACAACCCTCCCCACGACACATCTTCTACCATACTTCTACTGTTTCTTCCAAATTCAAATTCAAACAATAAACAACAACAACAACAACGATACATACCGAGAAAACAAAAGACAACGATTATTTCCGCTTTTGTTTAAATCCTCGTCGCACATGCATAAGATACAAAATAAATTCCAACGCGCACTTACTTTCTTTTTCAATTTCTTTATGTTTGTTTTAGTTACGTGACGCGTCGCGTCGCGACGCACATGCCGCCGCCTACGATCATGCTTCTATGAACTACTGCGACTCTAAGCGTCTATACGTTTCAAACGAGAGGACGAAACGAAAAAAAAAAATCGTACACAGAAAAATAATAGAATAGATTCGCATGCAGCTTTAACAGTAACACTCACAATTTTCTATACGTTTGTGTGTCCGAAATCCGGAAATAAATTACACAAGAGAAATTACAAACAAGTATTTTCCACAATACGCGTGTGCGTCGTGTCTTATTATTATTTTTTTGTTTTGTTTTTAGTTTCTTTGAAAATCTTTGACTTACCGGAGAAGCACCATTTGCCTTTGACCCGTGCGAAGATCACGACGAAGACGATGACCATCACGAACAAGATTGACATGACTATGAGCACTATCGTTCCTACGCCCAAATCTACACCTATTTGGAAAACAAAAGCATTATTAATAGCACACTCGAAATTAATCATATAAATTTAAAAAAAAATCATATGTTTTTCATTAATTGTTAATAAAAATCATAAAAAAACAATAACAAATTTTGATTTCCACTGAAAACTAGAAAATTTTTCATTTAAATTTAAAATTTTGTAAAGTCTTCTAAAAACTCTGACAAACTCTTTCATTTGAAATTACAAAATAATCATTAATTAGTAAAAATAATAAAAGTTTAGATGAAAAAATTGGAAAAAAAAAATAATAACAATAACAAATTTTGATTTCCACTGAAAACTCGAAAATTTTTCATTTAAATTTAAAATTTTGTAAAGTCTTCTACTCTGACAATAATTTCATTTAAAATTACAAAATAATCATTAATTATTAAAAATAATAAAAGTTTAGTTGAAAAAATTGGAAAAAAAAATAATAACAATAACAAATTTTGATTTCCACTGAAAACCGTTAGGTTTTAGAAGACTTTACAAAATTTTAAATTTAAATGAAAAATTTTCGAGTTTTCAGTGGAAATCAAAATTTGTTATTGTTATTATTTTTTTTTCCAATTTTTTCATCTAAACTTTTATTATTTTTACTAATTAATGATTATTTTGTAATTTTA